AGGATGGAGGGAGGCGGGAAGGGACCCAGGCATGGAGAGATATGAGCTAAAAACATATACAAATGTCCCAAACGAGCGTGATTCGACCCAGCTCCGAGGGGCAGATCTCAACTCACGATCAAAAGGATCACGGCGCGTGCCACGACGCGAATCCAGTTGGTGAGGTTGATGTCATCTCGCGAGGCGATTGCAGCACCGTTGATGAGATGGGCTGGGAAGCCACACATCATGACTGTGGACTTCTCCGGGCTGAGAGAACATCTTTGCTTTTCTTCGAGAAAGAATGTCTGCGCAAAGGTTTTCAGATCCGAACAGTCGGGTACACTCTGCCAAGGCTGGGAAGACCGTCTATGATGTAACTAGTTTGCGAGGGTGATGCTGGTCGGAGCTTGGTGCTGGTGCACGCCCCAAATTACCCTGGCGACGTACCCAACCCCTTCGCAATGCGGGGCATGAGTAGCTTGGGAGACGTCATACGGAGGTGATGAGGTGACATGGGCGCATCTACTTCTGCGAGCGGCATTCGTGAGGCTCGCAGCCCCCCAAAGATTGCGATGTCTCGCTCAGATATGACTGGTGACTCGCTCCGCTGAACCCGCCACCAGCCTGCGAAAGTTGGGACGGTTGCGCAGATCGCAGCCCCCCAAGGACGGCGAAGCTCGCTCAGATCTGCGCGGTGCCTCACTCCGCTGGACCCACCAGCAGCCCTCGAAAGTGGCGACAATTTCGCAGATCGCAGCCCCCCAGGCACGGCGAGTCCCCGCTCAGATCTGCGCGGTGCCTCACTCCGCAGGACCCACCAGCAGCCCTCGAAAGTGGCGACAATTTCGCAGATCGCAGCACCTCATGACGGCAAGGTCCCGCTCAGATCTGCGCGGTGCCTCACTCCGCAAGACCCACCAGCAGCCCTCGAAAATGGCGACAATTTCGCAGATCGCAGCCCCCCAGGCACGGCGAGGTCCCGCTCAGATCTGCGCGGTGCCCCACTCCGCAAGACCCACCAGCAGCCCTCGAAAGTGGCGACAATTTCGCTAACCGCAGCCCCCCAGGCACGGCGACGTCCCGCTCAGATCTGCGCGGTGCCTCACTCCGCAGGACCCACCAGCAGCCCTCGAAAGTGGCGACAATTTCGCAGACCGCAGCCCCCCATGCACGGCGAGGTCCCGCTCAGACCTGCGCGGTGCCTCACTCCGCAGGACCAACCAGCAGCCCTCGAAAGTGGCGACAATTTCGCAGATCGCAGCCCCCCAGGCACGACGAGGTCCCGCTCAGATCTGCGCGGTGCCTCACTCCGCAGGACCCACCAGCAGCCCTCGAAAGTGGCGACAGCTTCGCAGATCGCAGCCACCCAGGCACGGCGAGGTCCCGCTCAGATCTGCGCGGTGGCTCACTCCGCAGGACCCACCAGCAGCCCTCGAAAGTGGCGACAGTTTCGCAGATCGCAGCCCCCATCGTCGGCGAAGAGAGGGCAGAAGGAGGCGGGAGGCGGGAGGAGGGACGCGACCACAGTGCTCTATTCAAACCGAATATCCAACCAAGGAGGGTTGGGAATTCGCCGGCCCAACGGGCCAGGGCGTGCTAAGATCTCCGGTAACTGGTTAACAGTATTAACAGTATTTCTAGTTCGCGCGCGCGGGGCGGCCCCTGGGGGTCCCCCGGCGAAAAGTACCCCGACCAACGCCCGGTCGCCGCCCGACCGCCGCCCGACCGCCGCCCGACCAAGTCTACTCAGAGATGGTTTTCCTTCTGGGTGCGGCCTCTCAGGCTCCCCAGAGCGCGCTCAGAGTGCCCCAAGAGGCCCCCAAGACTGCCCAAGAGGCCCCCGAGACGCCCAAAGAGCGCTCGAAGACGCCGAAGATGACCCCAAGACGGCCCAAAAGGCCCCCAAGACAGCCCAAGAGGCCTCCAAGACGCCCCAAGAGCCTTCCAAGAGGCCTCCGAAGAGAGCCCCAAGAGGCCAAAATCGTTGATTTTCATTGGTTTTTTCGATGTTTTTTGTGTTCTGGCTTTTTCGGCTTCCGGACGCTCCAAGACGGCCCAAGAGGCCCCCAAGACCGCTCCAAGACGGCCCACGAAGCTCCCAAGACGGCGCCGAAACGACCCAAGAGAGCCCTCAAGACGGCCCAAGTGCCGCCCAAGACGGACCAAGAGGCCCCAAGACGGGCCCAAGAGGGACTCAGGAGGGATACCGAGAACTCAAAAATGGAGCCCTCCGTCCCAGAAGGCGCCCAGGAGGTCCCAAAGAGGCCCCAAGAGGCCTCCAAGAGGCCCCAAGATGTCGCCAAGAGGCCCCAGGAGACTCCCAGGAGGCCCAAAAGAAGCCCCAGAAGGCTTCAAACATGTCTCCCAGGCGCCCCCGAACGGCCTCTCAACAGACCCCAAGAGGCCCCCCAAAGAAGCATCTTGACGACGACTCTATTTCGCCCCATCGAGAGACGACCCCCAGGGAACTGCTTCACCATCAAAACTCCCCACGCAACGCGTCCGAACGACACCCGCCCCCAAGAGCGCAACATGGGCAACGAACACACAGACAAAAACCAGCGATGCCATATCACGGGCCGGCGGAATGAGCGAAGCGATTCAATAAATACCAACTTGGCTGGGACTCTGTGGGCGAGACTCCATGACCAGCAGAGCCCCGACAACAAGAGCAAGTACGCCAGGCACCCTGTGGGCAGAACCCTCTGGACCACCAGCTAAGACCAATCAACAGGCAGGGAATCGAAGTCCTGAACCAAATGAGCCGGACCCGAAACTGGCGAAACGCCAACAAACGCAATATCCCTCAGGCAGTGACTTTATGAGGGCCAGCCCTTGTGGACCACAGCAAGCTGCCAATGGACAGGGAAAACAAACTGGGAATGGACGAGCGGGGCCGTGTGGGCCACAGGAGAAAATCCATCAGCCGGGGCCCCATCCTATTAGGGGGCGGCTGAGGCTTCGCTTAGAGCAAACACTGCTCTTACGACCAGAGCAATCGCCGTATGCCTCCCCATTAAGCACCTAAGAGTACTCGCAACAACAAAACTCATAACTTTAATACATGTACGCAGTGGTTCCAGCGACAGTTGGAGCCAGCATGGCCATTGCCTGGCTCAAATAAACGCGGACACGAGGGCACCAGGCTCTGAAGCGCCCACTTTGGACGTCTCGCACTGCCGCCTCTGCAAATAACCACTGCCGTCGACGGAGCTGGCCTCCCTCTCCTCTGGCGGGCTCCTGCCAAAAGAGGCTCAGCGCTGATGGATAACATGCAGGCGCAGCCTCAGCGTTTATGACATCAGAGGGAAACAGCACCAGGGGACAACACCGCCTTCGTGCTGAAGGGAGGTCACCAGCAGCGCGTCAGGGGCACGAAATGCCGCAGCCGCTTGAGCCACGGGCGCGGGCCAAAAAGGTTAGAGCGCATGGAAGGGTATCGTCCCTGGTGTCGGCGTCGTCGCACCTCCGCGTCTCTGTGCTGGACTGGCGCCACCATGGGGTCACTCATCCAAGCACTGAGGCATGAGCAGGGCCTCTCGCATCGCAGTGCGCGGGTCCTCCATCACTGACTGCGCGACCGCGGTCCCCGCGATACGCGGCCTCCTCCACCCGTACCTTCTGGCATCAATTCGAAGCAGTACCTTTCACCTGCGCCCCCTCCCCGCAGGCAGAATCGAGCAGGCTTAGCTGAAACGCTCCCGGCGCACCTGTGGATACCATTGTAAGAAGATGATCACCGTCAAAAGTGCGGACGTGTGCTGTTTGGCAATAGAGTGGGACATGACCATCCGAAGGCTGCCAGCATCGGCCGATGCCTCAGGCCTGGGAGGCTTAGCAGATCGCTATCTTCAACCTCCGCTTGCTGCAGCTGGCAGGCTTCGTGGATGCTTCAGGCAATGACATGTGATTCACAACATGTTGCGCGCGCGTGCGCGCGATCTCAGTCGCACACGGTGTGCACCAATATTGATGGCAACGGCTGGGACCGCAAACCGGCGGCTGCACCTCATGGCGAAAACAACACGGTTATACAACGCACGCCTTGGGTGCGGCTCGCATGCGAGAAATTCCGCAGCCAGCACAAGTGTGCCTCCGATGTGATACCTGGGGGAAGTCTGATACATGATCCACGTTTCGGAAGCCAGCCCTGCAGGCCGAGCAAGGATTCCTGGCTGCACGGACGGCACACGCCAGTGTGAACCTATATTAATGCCGTGTCCAGAGGATCCCATGCAGCACCTGTCCTCCCAAGAGTAAGAATCACACATGGGGACTTCGACTTGCAGAGCCGATCCAATGCCACACCGAGTCTGCCGGTCAGTCGTGCGCGTTCCAAAAACGACCCCCAGAAGCGTCGGCGACAGCACCACAAAATATATGCGCTGCGAAAGCAATTGCGCGATGGCTGCTGTGGTCAAGAGCTGTAAATGCGTGGCCGGAAACGTGTTATCTCGCCAGATGCACCTGGTAAAACAAGCACGACCCTCCTGCCTCTTGAGACTGGGCGGGCAAGGGAAACGTCCATCTGACGACGAAAACCCTGCCGTCCAGCAAAACGGACATGATCACTGTGCTCAACCCAGCATGTAGTAACCGACCTACGGTCCACATCGGGCAAGTTACGCGGTTGCCCAAACAAGTGATAAAGCGGTGCTGGAAGGCAGAAGCAGGACAACCACCTTACAAACGGGAGGAGAGGACAGGCTGGGAGCAGATCCTGAGCACCACGGGCGTGCGGTAAATACCAATGCACGTCAAATGATTGCGATAACTGCTCGGCGCTTTGAGGCGCGACGGCCAGAAGCAAAGCATCCGTCGTCGTCTAGGACGTTCCTGCCTCCTCGTCCTCCTCCTCCCCGTTCCCCCCTTTACTGTCAGACCTCCCTTCTACCTGCTCGCCCTCTCCGTTTCTCCCTAATTACTCGCCTCGCTCTGTCCTTTCCATGTTCTTCCTCCAAACTCCTCCTTCCTCCACCTCCGTCTCCTCCCCATCGGCGCCTGCGTCCAAAGGTTCGTCAAGGCGTGTCAGGGGCCTGCGGGCAACAACACGCAAGCTTCCGACGCGCATGCGCTGCTTGCCTCACTCTTTCGCGCCCGCGCTAAGGAGGAGCAGCAGCGGCAAGGAGAAGTAGTAGACAATACGAGAGGAGGCGGAGGAGGAGGAGGAGGAGGAGGAGGAGGAGGAGGAGGAGGGGGAGTAGGAGGAGGAGAAGGGGGAGGAGGAGGAGCACCGTGCCTTGGTACATTCTGGAGTGCCCTCGGGTCCTTTCTGCAGTCCTCTTTTTTGCCTGATAAGCACCTTTTCAAGGGCCGACACGCTAGAATGCTCGGCGCGACCGAGTGCTCCCAAGATTGCCCGCGCGTTCCCGTGTGCCCCCGCGTGTTCTCGTGCGAGCGGCAGAAAGGCCCCACAAAGGGCCAAGAGGTCCCAAGAGGCCCCCAAGACGCTGCAAGATGGTCCCGAGCCGCCGACAAAATCGCTCCGAGATGCCCAAAATGGCCTCAAGGCGGTCCAGGAGGCCCCCGAGATGCTCCAACATATTGCTTTAGAAGCACTTCCGAGAGAGCCCCGGGAGGCCTGATATGGGTTCAAGGCTGCCCTCCAGGTCCCCAAGGTGCTCCAAGATTGCTCCAGGAACACTTTTGAAATGGCCTTCAGGTCTTCCAAGGCGGCCTCAAGACGGCCCCGAATGCCCTCAAGACGGCCAACGAATAGCTCTAAGAGGCTCTACGTACAGAAAGCCTCACGAGGCGTAACACATCAATTACCCTTCGGTATGTAAGATGTTGGAGCTCTCGACTTTCATTGCTTCCGACGGCCCAAGAGGCACAAAACGGCCCGAGAAGCCCAAGACGGCCCAAGAGGACCCCAAGACTGCCCAAGGGGACCCCAAGAATGCCCAAGAGGACCCCAAGACGTCCCAAGATGGCCTCCAAGACGGCTAGGATGGCCCAAGATGGCCTACAAGATGGTCCCAGAACGCCCCCTTAACTGCTAATATGCCCTCGAGAACGCCCAAGATGGCCCCAAGATGCCTCCAAGGCAGCCCAAGATCGATCCACGACGGCCCAAGATGGTTTCTAGACGGCCTAAGAGGCCTTCGAGGCGCTGCAAGTTTCTCTAGGAGGACCTCGAGGACCCCAAGAGCTCACATTAATACGTTCTTGCTGAAACGGTCCCAGCAGGCCTCGAAGAGGCCGCCAAGACGCCCTAGGAGGATCCACCAGAAATCCGAAGACCCCTTGGGGTTCATCGGCGTGTGAGATTTTTTTCCCTCCCCAACCCCCCCGCCAGGGAGCCTGGTCAGGTCGATTTGGAAGGGGGGGGTCCCCCGGGATCCGGCTGAACGCACCCGTGGGGGCAGAGGGCCCCAATTCAAACGGGCGGTCCACGAGGACCACGAGTCGCTGAAAGATCGATTCAAAACGCTCGTGTTCGAAAAGCCAATTGTCTCGAGATACTTCGAATTTCGTAACAAACAGCTGTTCATGGCACGACGCGGGTTCCAGCGATTGTTAAGCCCCAAAGAGGACGACAGCCTTTACCTCCTAGCGAGTTTCGGCTACGAGAAGTGGGGCCCCAGAGCACAGGGAGTTGAACCTTGTCAGGGACACGTTCGACCACCAAAGGCCTCAGACCATTGGAGTGCGATTCGGACAAGGCGCTGGGCAGATTGTCCAGACTGCGGCCCCAAGCTCTTGACCTACCCCCGCCACGGGTTCACGGGCAAGTTCTGCCAGCTGCCGAACCCAATGGTGGTTTCGAGGGCCATGCAGGATCTAATCAAGAAGTGGCTCTACGAACACATGAGCCACGTGCTGGCGAAGAAGCATATCGATCTGGTCACGGCGGGCATGGCGGCCGAGGCCAGGGCGAGGATCAAACCAAGAGCAGGAAGTGCGCCAGATTCGAAGCAATCAGCCGGAACGAGCACGACATTGACGGCGACGACCTCCAGGAATGCAGAGCCACCGACACAGACGAGCATGCAAGAGCAGGGCGGAGCTCCCTTTGCGACGACCTTCGAGGGTTTCGAGAAGCTACCGGAGGAGGTGGCGACACCAGAGATCGACAAGTTGAAGGACCTCGAGGCCAGGGCCAAGCGACTGCAGGACATGGCATCAAAGGTGGCGAAGGTGTTTCACAAAGAGTAAATGGCAGACGCAAGGTCCGAGTGGAAACGAAAGGCCTGACCAGCAAGGCTTGCATGGCCGTCGCGTCGCTCGTTACCCTAGTCAGTATGGTTTTCACTGCATCGGTTGGCGAGACCTTCAGGGAACTGGAGAGCCAAGGGGATCGAGACTGGCAATGAGAAGTGTGCTGTCAGGCAGACTTTAACCTGATCGCCGAGGCCCTACTGCGAGGACATCGAGCGGTAGGCTTCAGCCTGAAGAACAAGTACGACGGCAAGGGACACCACCTGGGGGATGCCAAGACCAAGCTGCTCGAGAGGAGGTCCAAGATAATCTGGTTCAGCCTACCTTGCACCTGCTGGTGCAAATTCTCCGACCTCAATTACAGGAAGACGCCCAGAAAAGGCAGAAGCTCGAGCAGAAGAGGAAGATGTCTACGCGCATGGCCGAGCTGCAGCTGGAGCTGGCACAGAGTGCCCTCCTCAACATCGTCAACGTCGAGATCTACTGGGAGTTGCCAAAGACATGCAGGGGCTGGTTCCTGCTGGGCGATACCCAGAAGAAGATGACGAAGCACGACATACCATGGAAATGCGACAACCTCTCAAGATGCATATTCAAAACCAAATCCAGTGACGGCAAGATGTTCTTACAGGAGGACTGGTCGATTGAATCCAACAACCTCGAGCGGGTACACGAATACGCCTACAAGACCTGCACCAACGCCAGAGATCCCAACGCCCACGAGACATGGAGTTCCACGGCGGGGAGACGACGAGCTCACGGTTTTACCCAAATGCCATGGCCAGGAGTTTGGTTAGGAGCTGGGAACGGTACGATAGCCATCACACGAACCAATGAGCATCAGGACACGCTCCCTTCGGCATCAAGGAAGCCCCTTCCCTTTGATTCCTTCCCCGCCGGGAGGGGGGGTGGGTGTCCCGGGTCTGTGGGGGGAGGGGTAGCGACCAAGAATACCATCCCCCCCTGGCGATCCCTCCCTGGGCTCTCCTCCTCAAGCGCGCCAGTCACAACGAAACGGGGGGAGGGGGGGGGTCCCGGGTCTGGCGATCCCTCCCTGGGCTCTCCTCCTCAAGCGCGCCAGTCACAACTCCTTCCCATCCCAGAAAGCCTCCTAGAACGCCCTCAGGCCACCACAAATGGCCCCCAGGAATCCCAAAAAGGACCCAAGCCGCCATCCTCTGCGCACCCATTCCGGTCGAGAGCCCAGGCCTCCAGGTTCGAGTGGCAAGCCACGGAAACATGGCCTGAAAGAGAAGGATCGGAGACACACAAAGAGATGATGGAGGTGCTGTCCAACCAATGGCTCCAGCAAAATGGCTCACCAAGTGATGGACATGCGACAGCGGGCCATCCTTCGATGAGGAATCGTTCGAATTTCAGCAAGGGGGTCGGCCAGCACATCATACCAGGACGGACACACTGGGCACATGGGAAGCCCGAGAACGCCGTCAGACATGTCAAGAGGACCTGCCTGGTGATCGAGGCCAGCAACCCAGACCTCACCCTGGAGATCGTGTTCCCTCGCGCGCTGCAGGCCACTAATTCGACCGAGCAGGTGCGTGGCCACAGTCCGTTCCAAAAGGACATCTGGAGCTGGAGATCCCAGGAGAGATGTTGCGGACGAGCTCTTCAAACACCAAATCGGAGCTGAGGCAAACGAGACGACAGACTATGAGCAATTGGAATCACACCGGATGAACGCGGAGATCTGTGCTGAGAAAACTCGAGCAGTGGAGAGGTTAAACGACCTGGCGAACACTACGGTCAAACAACCCTATCGCGACTACAGGATGGACGGCTGGGTCTACCTATGGAGGAGGAAGCCTCAAAAGGGTACCAACGACCAAATTGGTAAAAAGCATCCGAGGCAAGCACAAGATGACCCCAGGTAGCAGATCACCTGGGTGATCATCGATAAGTAACTGAGATAATATGTTATCAGCGTGAGGCCAACCACCGAGTAGGAGCAGGAGATTACTCGAGAAGCAAATGGGGGAGCACGAATTCCCAACCAACGCTATGAAAACATCAGTGACGACATCCCAAGCGAGAACAACACGGAAATCGACCTCGACAACCTCCCACCAACCATGGGAACCTACGACAACCCGGACCACATGACCCAGCATACGATATTCACCAGAAAGCCAGCTACGAATGCATCCGACGAATAGCGAGGAGTTGGGAACCTCAACCGAGAGTCCGAAGCAAAACTTCGAGAGCTGACCTCGAGAAACGCAAACGAGATCAGGAGGACAGAGGAGATCAGCCAGCCAAGAAGGAGCGATATGGAAACGACGACCCAAGCTTCTTCGCGCCTACAACTACCGACAACATGGAAGAAGACCAAATTCCAGAAGACGAGGAAAAGGAGGACCGATTGGCGCTTGCTATCAAGAAGGGCTTCCAGGCGGACATGTCCTAGACCATCGGCGACGCCAAGCACATAGCCTACACCGCGGAGTCTGACGTCGTCACATACACGATACATTTGAGCGAAAAGGATCTAAAGAACATGGGCGCCGATAGGGTCCCCAACATCGTTTGTCTGGTCAAGGGGCTACAGAGCATGGAAGTCAACTACGGCAAGTTTACCTTGGAGGATCAAGTTCTCTTTGATGAGGCCATGGCGAAGGAGTTGGTGGAGTGGATGCAGCGAGAGGCAGTTCGGCAATGTCACGACGAGGCAGAGCAAAAGGAAACATATGGAGCTCAGGCAGGATCGTGCGAGCCAGGTGGCGCATGGTCTGGAAGAACATGACAGCTGAGGAGAAGTATGAAGCCGTTCAGAAGCGCAGGAAGCGACTGGAAACCGCCCGGGCAACAGTCTTCAGGAAGGACTGCACCAAGAAGACGAAGGCGTGCATCGTGCTGTTTGGATTCGAAATCCAGATGTTGGCATGCTCTCGCAACACACACCACCAAGATGCCAGCGCGGCAGCATGCGACCACGAGGAAATGGAGCGCGGGAGCAGGAGATGCCACCACGGCCATTCTCAGACCGAGGATGACAACGATGAAAGCAACAAGGTGTGAATGACTGGATTTCCAGAGCTTTCAGCAGCCATGGGCATCCCCCACGGCGACGTGTTGAGGATCATGGACGCAGCCTACACGTACACGTCAGCACCAATAACATTGTTGAAGGATTTCTAGACGAAGATCACCTTCTTACGAGATGAAAACGGGGACGATCTAGGTGGCAACTGGATCCAATGAGATTATTGTTATTGGATCTTCGCAGAGCAGCAGAACGGAATCGACGTACCCATCGGCCAGGCCTACTCACACTTCGAAGACGTGGAAAGTTCAGGTGACTGGAAAAACCCACGATGGAGGAAGGCACCAGCTAGCGAAGATGCACGCCTGGGGTTTGCGGCGAGAGCAGGGCTACACCTTTGCAGGAGTGCATGTGCTGCAACTCCCCAGCTACGAATTCGAATTTGACTAGGCCGCCTTCATCGAGCAAGCGACGGACATCGAAGTGTGTCCCGACCGCCTGAAGCTCGTGGGCGATAAGATCACGGACAGGAGAGCTGGACGAACTAGCTCAAGACAACCTTCGCGGCTCTCAACTCAGACCGTCTACGAGTTACGGGAACCCTCCACCCCAAGCTACAGACCGACGCCGACATGAAAGCCATACGAGAAATACACCATATGATGTCGGATGTCCGTGATATGGAAATGTTGACACTAAGATTCGCAAATTTGCAGATGGAGTGAACTGGCACCAACTTGCAGCAAGCCGCGTTGGAGACGCTTCAGAGATCAATGCACCGAAAGGAGGGGCAACCGCAGACTTACCCATTGGAGAAGAAGAACCCCTGGACCGACGGGAGGATCTCGACCATCAACATCGCGATCAGCAGAACGTGGTAACTGGAAAGGAAGACCACCGCACCAAACGCCACGGATATCCAAGCTATGACCGTGCACGGGAACGCTCTACATCGAGTGCGGCGAAACTAATACGAGATGAACCAGTACTGTGTGCAATATGAGGCGGGCATCGTACGACGAGTCAAGATTGCAAGGACAGAATTGCGGCGACCCTAGCTACGGACAACACTGGTCTCTTAACCACGGCGGCGACCAGAGTGACGTCGAGGCCGATACCATCAAGGACAACGTCTGCAATGACAGCGGGTATATGCGATGGCTCGCAGGAGACTGGAATATGACTGACATGAACACCAACAAGAAAGAGTGCGCACAGAAAGCGCATGCTGTGTTCAACAACACTGAACGCTGGATTTCAGAGTGTTACCAAACGTTCGTCACGGCCGAGGAGGAGAACCACTACCAGGGGATGAAGCCCAAACCGATGAGAATCACGACCAGTGCAACTCTGAGGCTCGCTTCAGGAGCTTCTCATATAGATGGGGCTAAGGTTGTGCTGGAGGGCCTCTTGAGGAACCCACTGGGGACCTTTAGAGGCCCTGGGTGCCCTGGGCCAAGGATACAGGACCTGAACCGTTCATTCTAATCGATGTGGGGATCGTTTCTCGTGCTGATCGGATGGCTTTGATATCAGTTTCGAATTTTACCAACTGGGAACATGATTGCTCGCACTGCCGTGCAAGCCGCTGCAATCCCATCAACCCGTTAGGGTGTGAGTGGTTTAGAGCGCGTCCTCTTCCATATCCCTTCCTCCCCCCTGAAGGAGGGGTTTACCCCTCCCCCCCGAACCTGGACGAGGGGGGGGGGGCGCGGGTCGCTCGAGCGCCCAACCTGGCCCAATATGGCTCCAAGAGGGCATCCAAGAAACCAAGATGAACCCTCAGATAGCCCAAGATAATGCAAGATCGCTCAAGGTGGGCTTCACCATGCCCCAAGAACCCCCAAGATCAGCCCAAGACGCGCCCCAGTGGCCTCGGAGACCTCCAAGGAGGCCCCTAAGAAGCCAACATCCTTCAAACACCTACGGAACATAACAATGATGTTGGCCTCCTCGCCCGTTCGCTTCCGATGGGCCCCCGAAGCTTCAAGCTGGCCCCAAGAGGGCCCAAGATGACCCCGGGAGGGGCCTAAGATGGCCCCAAGAAGCTCCCAAGGCCCCCCAAGAGGCTCCCAAGACGCCCCCAAGAGGCTCACAAGTGGCCCCCAAGAGGCCCAAGAGCGCCCAAGAGCGCTCCACGAGCGCCACAGGAGGGCCCCAAGAGGCGACTCTGGGGGATCTAGAGGCGGGGCCCGCACTGGACCCCCCCCCACCCCTCTCTTTGATCGGCAACAGTAGTTGCTCAAAGTTTGACGGGTGTTTGCGTTTCGGGGGTATCCCTCAGAGGTTTTTGGCCCGTGGGGGCTTTAAGGTGGTCCCAGACTCTTTAAGGTGGCCCCCAAGATACCGCAATGTGGTCAAAGTTGGCCCACGATGGCTTCCAAGATACCTCTAAAAGGTCCCATGATGTCTCCAAGTGGCCACGGGGACTCCCAAGGAGGCCCCCAAGAGGCCAACATCCTTCAAACACCTGCGGAACATCAATGGTGGCCTCCCCGCTCTTTCGCTTCCGATGGGCTCCCGAGGCCTCAAGGTGGCTCCAAAAGAAACCCAAGATGGCACCAAGAGCGACCCAAGATGGCCCCAGGACGGCCCCAAGAGCGCCCCAGGGGGGCCCCAAGAGGCGACTTCTGGGGCTCTAGAAGGGACACGCTACTCGAGTACACCCCCTCGTAGATCGATATTATCCAAGATGTTCCTAAGAAGGCGTCCAAGGCCCCAGAGAGAGCCCCAAGAGAGACCCAAGATGGCCCCAAGAGGCTCCCAAGGCGCCCCCAAGAGGCTCTCAAGACGCCGCCAAGAGGCTCCCAAGACGCCCCCAAGAGGCCCAGGAGGTCCCACGTTCCTGATCCGCACAACTCGCCTGGGCATCGTTTTTGGTTGGGCTGGTGGGGATACTTATTGACACGCGGGCGAGCGAAGCGAAGTCGAACGCCGAGCACGCTAGGGCGGGCCGCACCGTGGCTGGTGGGGTTGTTTTTTTCGTCGCGGCCGCAGGCGAGCGCGCCAGCAGCGTCAATAATCGGGCGGGCTATGCGCGAACCTAATTGCCTAACGCGCCGACAATCCGGCGGCCTAAACAGCACCAAAGCTGACCAGACTGCGCGAGGTGGTGCGGGCTGCAGATGCCAGGAACCAGGTCCAGGAGCGAGCGCATGCATAACACTGGTGGGGTTACTTTTTAGTCAGCGGCCGCGGGCGAGCGCGCCCGCGGCGAGTCAGGTCAAAGCGGGCTACGCAGAGACAAATTAGGCAGATAAAACACAATAATTAAAGCGGAGGCGACGCGCGAGGCAACAGCTTCGCGCCGGCCGAGGCCTCACGCAGCGGCCCGACGGCAAGTGGATGGCTGGAGGGACTGAGACAGAGAAGAAGTGCCAGCGTGCAAAGCTGCAAGTCCGTCGGAGGCACCAAAAGTCAGAAAGTCAACAACGACGGCCAAGGAAAGCTCCGAGAGAGAAAGCACGATACCGTACCTCAGACGACTGCGTGTGCACCAGAGTGGCCATGGCCAACAAACACTGGTGGGATTACGCGAAGCGTCTGGAATAATTCAGCCGGCCTCTATGGGGACAGGTCAATATATTCAAGAAGAACCCTGGTCCTGAACCATGTCAGATAATGAGCGATCCCGAGGCCACGACCCTTCGTAACAAACTATGGGTCCAAGCACCGTCCCCCTGTGTAAGCAAAAACCGAGTGTTTAAAGAAATGCTTAGCGATTCCGCGCTCTGGTCTCCGATTGCCTTGCAGTCCAAAGTTCTGTACTCGCGACACTCTTTGAACATGATCAAACTTAGCAACATTGAACTGACATTTCTCTAAATCGCCTCCTTGGCCATCGAACACCAGGCGAGGGGCATACCACGCACAACAATGACGTCCGTCTCCCCTGGCCTCGCCGCCTCCGCGGCCGCGGACTTCCTTACATGAGAGGCAGAGTCAGGACAGGGGCACTCCGTCGGCGGAGCGCGATCCAAACAGTGCCGAGAAGGATGAGCAGCAGGACGAGCATCAGCGAGATGAGGAGAGTACCGGAGCAAGAGACGGGCAGGAGGAGGAGGAGGAGAGACGGGCAGGATGTAGAGAAGGGGGAGACAGAGAGGGAGAGTGTCAACTCTGTCCGAAACTGGTGGCCTCGAAAATAGCCACTGTCTCTACGTCTGCGGTGACTGGCGCATGATCTGGGACGTCATCGACCTGGCTCTGCGTAAAAGGGTGCGCTAGCAGTCTTGGATGGTCTTCACACTACTTCCCCATTCCTCCTCCTCATACTACTTACTATTCTTCCCCAACGTTGTCCACATCGCTCTGGTGCGTTCGTCGGTCTTCAAACCATTTTACTCCCCCTGGAGAAATGTTACGACGCACGCGGCTACTTGTTATCCTCAACCGCCTTGGCATGTTTACCGAAGCACTCAAATGACGCCCTGCCACTTTAACTATATCTACGCATATAGACATCATATTCCATACACATATATCCTTGCTCATGTGCTGTCGGCTTTCCAGATCCTATCTTCCATGCCGCCAATCTCGTTCGGCTTCAGTGTGGGAGGTCGCATTGCAAGTCCTCACAGGCCAGCGGCTGAACAACGCTAGCGTGCAGGAAGCGCTTGTATACAATGCGTAGCTTCCTTGCTCTGTCTTCCATGCCCCTTTCTCCATTCCTCTGTCCGCCCAGTTTCCCCCGATTCGTTGGCCACACACGTAGCATTCGGCGCGAAATTCCAGGCAGGCATACTTGCGCAACCCAGCCCCATCTTACATCCAATAGCAGGGTCAATCAGCAGTGCCCAGAACAGTTGTAATTCAATCGTGCTCGGGGTCCAGTCGGCCCTCATCGAATAATCATTGTTGCGCTCCCATGCTGCGGTTGACTTCATTTGCACATGCTGTGAACGATACGTCCGTTTATCTCTATATGGATATACTCGACCTTCATTGGGATGAAGTAGTCAAACTCGCAACAACTAAACCCTTGCCCAGCAACCAGAAGCAAACACGCCAACTCCAAAACAAACGAACACCATGGGCGTGTGGTCATCGGCACTAGCTAGCCGGCCTGGGGCGCAGGTCGCCGCCTAGGGCGAGCACGCATCTAACAGGCATTCCGGCAATTTCACAGGTACTTTGTTCGACGCACCGCGCCCACCATATTACCACTGACGCCGATCGAAAGTCGCAGCAATTGGAGCGGCGCTTACCCTGGCCGAACCGCATCCCCAAACTGCCACAGACCAGCGTGCTGGAACGTGCGCGTGGGTTTCTAAGCCGCGGTGGATGTCAAGGAAACGAACACACGCACATGAAACATCCCGCCGTGGAGATTTGGTTGGGTCGGGATTTTTACGGAACCCGAATGTGACACTCTATCGACGGGGAACATACTCAACCGAGCGCGCGTTTCATGCGCGTTCAGGTTCCCAAAGGGCTGCGGCTTAGCGCAACGCGTGGGAGAAACGCCGTGCCCGAAAGAACTGCAGCCGCGGGCTCCGAAACCCAGACGCTCGTTGCTGAAGGGGCGATTTGGCGAGTGCTCAAGTCAGGGTAAGGAGTGGGCACCTGGATAAAACTACACGTGTGCGTACAGAAGACTGTATATCCAGCCGCAAATGTCCACCCACCCCTGGCGCTCTCCACGTGCCACTGGTGGGGGATAGGTAGGGTAGGGCGGGGCAGCGGGGCAAGGGTAGGGCTAGGAGGACAGGAAAGGAAAAAGGATGACGGACGGGGGAGGTAGGAAGAGGAGGCAAACGGGTTGAAGGACGAAGGGGGATGAAAGACGAAAAATGCGGGAGGGGGCTAAAGGACGACGAGGGAAGGGACACGAAGAGGGAGGCTAAGAGGATGGACGGAGAGCGCAGGCTGACGAGGATGAAAAAAGAAGAGCAGGAGGGGGATGGGAGGATGATTATCAACATGAAAAGAATGAGGACGAGCGCCAGTACCCTGCGATGGTATCGTCGGCGGCGTGCAGCCGAACATCCGCGGGGCGGCGACTCTGTGGTTGTTCTCGTTGGCGCGGTCCAGCGCCGCCGTGTGGCACGTTCTTCCAAGGGCAAATGTGGAAGTGGGTGATATTGTGGGCGATGCCGTAGGTTTGGCCTGTAAAGGTAGTAAAGCAAAACGAGGTTGCGCATCGCCGTGAACCTGGGATGTTCGCGCCGTGGATAGTCACGGTAAGCCTCATCTCCGGCAAGTCCGAACTAATGCAGGTGATCGCCGTGAAGGAGATGCCGAAGGCGAGGCAGCCAGTGAAGGGCGTGGCGGGACTTCGCCGCGCACTTCTCCGCAGCCCAATACACAGGCATCCAGCACAGCAAGAACATGCATGCGGTAGATTGCGTGCCACCCGCCCGTCAGGGCCCCCAAGGCGATCCACCGCCATGCTGGAGGCAGCGCGGTGAGGAAGACCTTCAACTGCCGCCACTTCTGTCGGAGGTCACGCGGGACCAGCTCGGGCTCGATCCAGGTAGTGTGCTTCTTTCTCAAGGTAGCGTCGAAGGTGTCGGGGTGGGTCGCCGCCTGGAGGGGCTTAACGGAAGCCCTCTGCGTGCGAGACCGCGTGCCGGCTGTCGCGGACAAACGAGCAGCGTCTTTGGCCACCCAACCTCCGCTGCTTGCCGGCACAGCGGGAGCACGCGGGCGGGGGCCTCCGCGGGGCGGCCCATGGACGCGGCTGCAAGCCATCGCACGATAGCGGTGCCTATGCGCCAGAAGGGCGGCGACCACTGCCCAGCCGCCCGTCGCGGGAATCCAACCGAGCGGGGCGCCGCTGCTTCCCGCCGCTGCAGAATCGCCGCCCAGGTCGCAATCGCGAGCTCCGCAACGCCCAGGCCGCCAAAGCACCGACCTGACCGCTGCAGTCGGGAAACAGGCGTCGAGGGACAGCTTGCCGTTGAAAGGCGGGAGCCGCGGCACCTCGTGGAGCGCGCGGAACTCCTCGCGCGCGAAGTTGAGCGGCAGACCGAAGAACTGGGCGAGCTAGGCAAGAGCGGTAAGACACGACGCGCCATAGGGGCGGGCGTTAGACTCGACCGGGGCGCCTGTGCGACTCCCGAGCGCCGCCCGCCCCCACCGCTTGTCGCCCGCCGGGCCCCGCTGGTCGTCGGTCTTTGCACCCGGCCCCATGATGGCACCGAGGTGCTTCGCCTTGTCCTCGACGCGGACGTCGCCCCGCTCGGGGGCCAGGTGAGTCACGGCGCGCCTGGCGTGCTGGACCAAGTCCTCGGCCCGTGGCGCCCAGCACTGAATCAGGAAGATTCTCTTGGGCTGAAGGCGCAGATTGCCGAGCCCGGCTGCAGAACTGAACGCGGTGGCAATCGTGGGCAACTGGCGCGCGCTGCGCTTGACGGACCACGCGCGGGTCTTTCAGGACCGCGCGCTGCGCTTGACGGACCACGCCTGACGAATCTGGCCGCAATGACGAGCTCAGAGCGCGGCCCGCATGGGCAGGGCAGGAAGTCGCAGAGCGGGTCGGAATGGGCGATGTCCCTGCGGGCACATGGGCAAGAGCTCCCAGAATCGGGCCCATTGCAAAAGCCCAGACACCGCTCGGCGATGGACAGCCCTGCGCAACGCCACCGGCCAGCTCGCGCAGGCGATGATGACCCCCCCAGAAGAACGAAGCCCCCCGAGTCTACGCATGACGCCTGGACGCTGCTCACGCAGCACTGCGGGGCGCCGAAGCGTTTCAGGGCGCCGAACAGCCATTGCCGACCGGCCGGCGGGAAGGCGGCGGCGATGTCGACGAGCGCGAGCACGGGCGTGGAACCACCCCCGCCAGGAAGCAGGCTGGCCAAGCGTGATTCGGCGTCGATGGCGACGATGTTGCCGCTGTAGCTGCGCCCTCGGATGAAGCCGCGCTGGATAGGGCGCGCGCGCGACGCGGCGTGCGGCGCCGGCCGGGCGTTCGCGGCGGACGCAATGACACTTGCATCGGCGCTCTTCCTGGCGACGGGTCGCAGGGCGCCCGCGCGAAGGAGAAGGGGGCGTTTGAAGCCGAACGGGGCTGCGCCAAGCTCAAACACGTCGGAGGCAGCGTCCTCCGCGAGGCCGACGGCGCCCCGGGCCCTGGCCCACGCCGCGCGCGGGGGCCGATCAGGCCCAGGCGCGGAGTCGCGAGCCCCAGTCGCGGCGCGCCGAAGGCTCGCCGCAGAAGGAGGCCCCATGCAGGCTGCAAGGGCGTCGGGGGGGGGGGGGGCGCGCTGCTCCGGGAACCTGTCGACCTTCGCCGAATCGACGGAGGTGCCTGCGAAGATGGGGCCCCAATGGTTCCGCGATGCTTTCGACGCGGCGTCGGGGGTTCCCGCGGACGGCGCGCCCGCAGGGCCCGCGCGCCCCTTCGCGCGCGCGCGGGCGGGCTGCAATGGGGGCCCGCGGCCTACTGCAGCATGGAAGATGCCGTCGTTACGGCCGATGATACTCCGCGCCGCGAGCGCGGCGCCGACGCGCAGCCGGCGCAGCGCCCTGCTGAGCACCAAACTGCAGGGCACGGCGCCGCCAGGGAGGCGCGCGAGGAAGTTCCGAGTGAGCCTCGCGGAGTCGGTGACGTTCGACTTCGCGATGCGCAGCGCGCTGGTGAGCGCCCGATCATATTCGGCGCGGAGTGGAGGAGGTCGCAGCGCCCCCAGACATGGAGCACTTCGGAGATGGAGGCGGGGACGATGCTCATATGCGCCTCTTCCGCCGGGGCGCGAAGCCGAAGGCGTGAGGAAAGGAGGCCGTGATCGCTCATCCCCTGGTCGATGTTCGGGACTGCGCCCGGCGGCGGGCCGATGATGGCCCCGTCGAAGCGCGTGGCCGCGGGGGCGGGGCGGTCGAAGCGAGCGGGCTCGACCTCCAGCATGCCCCCGAATAGCCGTCGCCGGAAAGCCTGCTGACGCCATTCACCAGCGGGCGAAGCGAAGGACAGCGGTTGGAGGTTGGACGCGGGAGGAAGACGGCTCGTCGTAGATGTTGAAGTTCTCGATGGCGATGGAGAGCTTCTCTCGCGAAGACTGTTTGGCCCGCGCGCTGGGTCGGGGCCGCTCGCGGTCAATCTGTCCCCTCTCAGTCCCGCCCACGCCGCGGCGGCGGGCGCGCGTGACTATGCGGCGCGGGACCTGGCCAACAACGAATTCAACGAATTGGGTCCGCCTGGGGGCTGCGGGGCAACGCCGGGCCCGCGCCCCCGACGCTGCCGCGCTACAGGGCGCCAAGCTTTCCTAGCCGGGACCTTGCTTCGCGAAGCTCGAGGTCAGCTCTGGCGATCTTCGCAGCGGCGCGGATCGCGTCTTTAAGCGCGAGCAAGGCCGCTGCTGGATCGGAAGAGAGAGGGGGGGGGGGGGCATCCCGATAACCTTTTCGATCGCCTCTGGAAAGAAAGTACGTCTGCGCACCCATGGCGCGACGCACGGCGGCCCCGAGGCGGAGAAAAGGGGGGGGCGCCAGACATGCGGGCGCATGATCAGAAGGCCATTCCAGGTCGCGCGCTGCTGCCAGCGTGAGAGAGTTGGCCTGCATGCCTATCAAAGAAGCGCTAAGCGTGGTGGTGCATGCACTGTCAAGCCGTGCGAAGGATTAAACAGAGTGCTCGCCATCGACGGTCTGCGCGCGCAGGCGCGTGCAAGCCATTTGCTTAACGCCCGTATGCCCAGGAAAAAGACGAGCGAAGTGCTAAGCGAGCCCGCGCGCATGAAACGCCGTTCCCCCGCCCACGCGCGCGCCCTTCCCCGAGAGCACGGGGGTTGAAGTCGCCGACAAGAAGAGAAGTGGCCGTGGGCGGCGGGGGGGGGGCGGGACTGGATGAAAGGCGAAGTGCGAAGGCGTGAAGGCGCAGGCAAACTGGGGGCGACATGAGCGCTGAGCATCCGAATAGTGCCTGGCCGCCCTCGTAGGACAAGCTCGCGAACGCGCTCGCTGCGAAGCGCGCGATGCTGGATATCGCCAAGAGACCTGCGAAACGGGGATTGAGAAGCAGGACGCAACCGCCCTTGATGCCGCAGGGGAAGAACGTGCCGTAGGTGCGCAGACCCTCGATCTCTGTTGTAAGATACCTGAGGCCCCCGAGGGGCCCGTGAGTTTCCTGAAGAGCGATAGCCGCGCGTCGCGGGATGGACCTGCGAAGTTCTGACATCGCATGAACGATCGGCTGGATCGGCGAGGAAACGGAACCAGAAATAATCTGCACGTTCCACGTCGCAGAAGAAAAACTCGCGGAAGATGATGGACTGGCGGGGGGGCATTGGCACCAGTCGGCGAAGGAGGACTGGGCGAATCAGAAGAAGAAGCTGAATATTAGGATGAGCACTCGTCATCGGTGCAGCTGTCGATGACCATTCCACACTCATTTGGCTGCTGCCCAGGGCGAAACTGGAGAGGGGGGGCGGCGATCTGGCTAGAGTTCGGTAGGCACGGTGCAATGTCCTACTCCATGGCGGCGGCGATGAATGCGGCGGCCACGCCGGAGTCGATGCCGGACTTGTCGAGGTTGGTGGAGTTGGCCTTGCACTCGAAGTGGCCGGGGTCGGAGGTGCCAAACACGAACGAGATGAAGATGCAGTTGCCCTGCTTGATGCACAGAATGCCCTTGAAACCATTGGTCCCCGAACTATAGTCGGCTTGCCACTGGCCCGCGCGCTTCATCTCGACGGATATGGCTTGCCACAGTCGCCCGAGGTACTTGTTCTTCACGCGGATCTCGGCTGGAGCACCTTGCCGCGCGCGGAGGCTGATGGATGCGCTGGCGGCACCTCCTGGAACTGGATGCCCGCCTGGCGGAAGTGATCGACGCAGGCGGCGGCGGCCATCTCGCTGACGGCCTTGATGCTGTAGGACTCGTTGAGACTGTAGCCCCTGATTGTGGCGCCGTCGGAGTAATGGGAGGGGGTCGGGCCGAGAAGATAATTGCCATGTTCTTCACGCGTGGTGCCCATCATGGGAGTGACCCAAACCTTGCACCCGTCCCTGGAGGCGGCATTGACAGGGTTTGCGCGTCGGCCGATGTGGGAAGCAGCGGCGTCAGCGCGAACGCGTTTGTGACCGCTGGGGGAAAAGGAGGACACGCTCCTGGCACTTGAGTTGACGGCGCCGGCTATGGACGAGACTTTGGACTCGAGTGCTTGGAACTTAGCGAGGATGTCACCCTGAGCAACCGAAGCGACCCCCTTCGCCTCGATGGCGTCGAGTCGAGCAGCGAGAGCAGATTGTTGTCCAGCTTGCGCTTGAAGCTAAGTATTGATGGGCGGGATCTCGCCAACTACTGCGTTGATGCCAGTGGGTTACTGGGAGAAGGAGGCGCCCATGGCGCCCATCTTACCCGGGAGTTTTTTGAAGCCTGGCTGCGTCGCCCCTGCAGCCGACGCTGCGGCGCAACAAAATGACGCGAAACTGGGGCGCGAGGAAAAACGCGAAATGCCAGCTCGGGCACGACGCCCGAGATGGCCCAGAGAGGTGGGCTGCCCGCTCCTGCGCGACTTCCCCCGACCACACATGAGCCCATATGGCAGCGGAGGAGGAAAAGCCTGGGTACGCTGAAAGAGAAGAGACGAGGGCAAACGGACAAGAAGCGAGAAGAGGGCGAGAAAGTCGATCCCGCCCCCTGCCTGCTGCCGCTACGTCTACTTCATCTGGCTGCAATGTTCAGCGCTGCTCGCTGCGGCTAGAGCCCGAGGAGCGGGCGCAAAGGATGACGTATCTTCGCTGTTCGGGGAAAGTAAAGGATAAGGTGGGATGGGCGGAAGCGGGGGGAGCGAGGGGCGCCCAAAAGGAAGACCGTGGGGGGGTGAAGCAGCGGCGGAAGACCCGGCTAGAGCGAGCACCACATATGGCTCAGGCTCGCCGCTCAACGCGTCGCTGACCACAGCATCGCCCTTGGGAAGGCGCCCCCGCTCCAGCGAGCGCGCGTCGAAGCAGCGCGGGTAGAGGTCAGCAGCTCCAGCGGCGGCACGAGCGACGAGAACTTCAGGACTGTCAGCGTTCGCGATGCTGCACTCGCGATCGCTCTCAGCCAATGTGAACATCGCGAAATCCATCCAGGCGTCGAAGCATCGATAGTAGGGGCGGCTGTTCTTCAGAACTTTGCGCCGCATGACCCGCCACCACCCTTGGAACAGCGTGCTTAATAACGACTGCGTCCGCTTGGAAACGCAGCAACGCACGGAGACGAATCGTCGCAACGGCCTAACCGCGAGATCACCACCACCGTCGGCAGCAACAGGTACGCGTAGAGGGCCGTCACCACCCTGAGGTGAATCCGGAAGCGCTGCAGAAGCAAGTGTATGCAGAAGAACTGGATTAATATGTTGTTCGCCACCAGCGACGCTAGCAGCGTGAACGTGCAGAGGATTATCATCACATTGACCAGGGGGGCATCATCATGCAGGCCACCAGTATGGCGACGAACTTCAGATTGAGGAACGGGACGAGCATGCAGAACAGTGGGCACAGGATCGCGCAGGGTTGCAGGAGCACCGCCAGCGGCCGATTCGGGGCGCTCTCGAGCACCGGCGGGGTCCCCACCAGCATCATGTGCATGTTGAAGAAGACGTTGGTACGTATGTTCGCCACCAGTTGTGGCAGTAGCAGGAGCGTGCCGAAGATCGGCGAGAGCAGGTTCGTGCAAAACGTGTTGGAGCGGGAGAGGTTTGCCACCAGCAGCGGCGGAAGCACAAGCATGCCGAGGAACGGCAGGAGCAGATTCGTGCAGAGAATCATCATGAAGAGCTTGAGCGGGATGGTTTAGATGAACATTGGCAGCCACTCCAGACAGGGCGGCGCGAGGACAGTCATGCAGATGAACTTCGGGGTGTTCGGGGCGTGCAGCGTCAGCCACTCCAGGCGGTAGGACAGCATGAACGTCATCGTGCAGGGCTTCTTCAGGATGGTCATCCTCATCGGTTCGAACCTCTGAGCCACGAATTGGACGATCATGCAGAGCCCCATCATCAGCATAATCACAGTCGTTAGCGCCGCTGTGCCGCGGGCGAGCGTCATCAGCGGCAGCAGGAAGTGCTTCGTCGTCGGCAGGTGGGGGAAGCGGTCCAGCGCCAGCACCACCGCGGAGCGGAGCGGCAGGAGCTAATGGTGGAGGAGGCCCAGCACCACCAGGAGGACGAACGTGCATGCTCTTGATGAAGTTCGCGACGGCGGCGAGCTCGCTGTCGTAGCAGATGCCCAAGCGGGTAGAGTGGCCGCGGAGCTGGTGTCTGTGCTGTGGCTGGCAGATGATGTGCTGCAGCTCGTGGAGGCAGTAGTAGATGAAGGAGAAGTGGTTGCCGAGCAGCAGGCTGGCGTGCATATCCGCCGTGCAGCACCTGGCAAGCACGCCGATGAATGGCACCATCACTTCTACGATGTGGCATGACGAGCAGCGTCAAACGGGCGCCATCGCGCGGGCATATGGAACCGCGGTCCTCGAACGGCGCGGCGCTCGGCGAGGTGGCCATGGAATTCATTTTGGCACAAGTGCGGAGGTACCCCACTTGAGACAAAATGGCTATGGAACGGAGGAGGAGGAGGCGGAGGAGGAGGAGGAGGGAGGACAATGAGTAATGAAGGAGAATTGGCGGAAATTCCCCTTACATGCGCAACTACGTGTGCATCGCCCGCACTAGTGTTACTGAATTTGGCCGTTTCGGCGTCACATTAGCACTCGAGCCGTCTCGCGGGCCCTCGGGGCCTCCTAGGGGAACTTGTGTGTATCGGGTGATTGCAAGGAAGGCTCTGGGTGGGGTGGGGGTCATTCCTGAACGCTGTAGGGGGGCGCGGTTGGGAGGCACACTATTGTGCGAATGTGGCCGCATATATGCAGGCCGCCGCCCGGGACAACCAGGCTGCGAAGCCCAAAAGTCCTGAGTAACTTGAGGAGCCTACGAGTCCAGAATTGGAAGTGCACATTTGCTAAACCAGCGCAGCCAACAGCCCCCCAGGGGGGGGGGCACCACGCGGAAGAGGAAGGGAAGGAGGCCAAAGTCTCGAATCCCATGCCCCTTCCCCTGCCCCCACCCCTTCTCTGCCCTGCCCCTCGGGTCTCCCGAGACCTTCCCGAAGCCAGCTCTGCTGCCACGTGCCTGCACCCCGCCTCCGACCCCTCTGCGGCCATCCCTCTCAGCGGCCCCGCCGTACCTGCCCCTCACCTCCCCTTCTCCCCAGACGCTGCCTTCTCCCACGCTCTGCTATGGTACAACGGCCCCTGCGCCCACCCCCCCACCCCGCCGCGGCCTGGACATGCAGGTCCCATCCGCCGCTATTGCCCTTGGCTGAAGGCGAGCCTCGAGAGCGGGCGCCATGTCCCTTCGCTCCCTTCGGTGTGCGTGCTATCGCGCAGCCCGCGCGAAAATGGGGCGGCATAGCGTCATGACAGAAGTAACGAAGGTAACCCATCGTGAGTTTGGGTCGCGGGACCACCACAGAACGCTCGACCACGCCGCGGCTGGCGATCCACCAACAAAAACGTTTCGACCTCCTTCCCCTCTCGGTCGGGGGAGCTGGAACTAGAGATGCGTTATTTTGCCCATCGCAACAGTTTCCACACCTCTCTTGCAGGAGAAAATTACGAATTCATCGGGCAATATAATCCCATGACCAGCGGAAGCCGCCACGGAGGTGGCTCATGAATACCGTGCCCACGGAAGAGGGGCGGGGGAAACACAGAGGTGCGGCCAAGGAGGATGAGGCGTGTTGTGGAACTTCCCAGTGGTCCAACCGACCAATCATAACAAGACCGCACACAATGGCAATATGGGTTTAAGTGCATGCAGTTTCCATGTTCCACCGACGCCAGAGGATGAGAGTGAGAGGGAAAGAGAGTAATAGGATCAGCCTGTTTGGGTGAGAGTAGTGGGGGCTTGAGGAAGGCAACAGGGAGGTGAGGCGATGAGCCTGGAATTTGGAGACAAGAGAGGGGGCAAAGCAAGTCGGGATCCCATTTGCTTGGCCGACCTGATGCGCCAACTAGGGCGGAGACGGAACAGGAACAGCCCGCCTTCGTCAGTCGCCACGTGTTCCGATGCTCTTGCAAGGTTGTCAGCGGGGGTGGGAGGAGGGCGACGACGCCCTGGCATCGGCATCGGTCGCTCGACTTGCGCCAGCGACGCCGCTGGACGGCCGCGCCCCGGCCTGCCAACACAAACCTCATCAGAGTGAGGGGGCTGAACCGAACGGTCATTCACTGTCCCTGGGTGCGTGGCTGAATTGGAACTCCGCGATACGGATTCGTGTTGTTGTTGATGTTGTTGTTGTTGTTGTTGGTGTTGTTGTTGTTGTTGTTGTTGTTGTTGTTGTTTTTGTTTTTGTTGTTTGTTGTTTGTTGTTTGTCGTCGTCCCACCCGCGACCCGCCCCGCGATCCACCCGCGACCCACCCCGCGACCCACCCGCGACCCACCCGCGACCCACCCCGCGATCCACCCACGACCCACTCAGCGACCCACCCGCGACCCACCCGCGACCCACCCGCGACCCACCCGCGACCCACTCCGCGACCCGCCCGCGAGCCACCCCGAGACCCCCCCGGCGACCCACCCGCGACCCACCCGCGACCCACCCCGCCACCCACCCGCGCGCGACCCACCCGCGACCCACCCGCGACCCGGCGACCCACCCCGAAATTTTCGGCGCCTGCGGCGGGTTTCTGTTGCATTCGTTCCAGGTGGAGACCCGCGACCCCCGCGACCCACCGCGACCCACCCGCGACCCACTCCGCGACCCACCCAAAATTTTCGGCGCCTGCGGCGGGCTTCTTTTGCATTCGTTCCAGGTGGAGAACCTGCGACCCACCTGCGACCCAAACCGCGTTCAGTGTACGAATCAAAATGTTCGGCGCCTGCGGCGGGCTGTTTTTGAATTCCTTCCAGGTGGAGGTGGAGAGCCCGCGACCCACCCGCGACCCAAACTACGATCACTGAACAAGCCAAACAACTTCGGCGCCTGCGGCGGGTTTCTTTTGCATTCGTTCCAGGTGGAAAACCTGCGACCCAAACCGCGTTCAGTGTACGAATCAAAATGTTCGGCGCCTGCGGCGGGCTGTTTTTGAAATCCTTCCAGGTGGAGGAGGAGGAGGAAAGGGAAGAAGAGGCAGAGGAGGTGGAGGAGGAGGTGGACGACGACGAAGATGAGGACGAGGACGCGGACGAGGAAGAGGAAGAGGAGGAGGAGCAGGAGGAGGAGGAGGAGGAGGAGGAGGGCGCCATCGACAAGGAAGGTGAGGGCCACGAGGTCCGCCGGCTTGTCGTTGATCGTTGACCAGCGCCCGCGCCCGCCCCCTCACTCTTATCCGCAATTGCGGGGTGCTACGTACATATTTCTCACGAAGCTGAACGCCCCCACATCCCCAGTGAAGCTCGTACAACGGCAATTACAAACACATTGAGAGCAATGCCTAATGCCGATGCCCGCTCGCCTGAACATCTCACTTGGAACGCCTGACTGCCCCCTCCAAGCCCATCCCGACATTTCCCGCAAGCAGGCCGACTCACAAGAAATCGTGCATCGAATGACTCTGTCGGAGGCTCCTGAGGCGTTGCAAGCCACAGGGGGTGCGGTGAGCTGCTGAGCCCTATGACCCCTGTGAGAGCGCTGCTCGCTTGCCCTTCCGAGCACCGTCTCGATCCTCGTGGCGCCTCTGCGGAGCGCCTGCACTGGAGTGTGCCGCGCGGTCGTCCGCTCCGAGGCCGCCCAGCCCGCCGAGGACCCCTGGTGCCGCTGTTCCGTTGTTCCCAATCAGAAAGACCACGAGCCGACCCAGAGGGGATCCTGACTGGCGGCACGAGCCGAGCCACTGCGCGGCAACGAATCCCCGCAGCGGCCAGGACGGGCGACTGATCGTCGAGGCGCCAGGGCGAGCGCACAGGCGGACCCCCCCCCGCATAGCCGAGCGCCTCTCCCGGCGGAGTTGCGCGTCGCGGCCTTCTCCAGCTCCATCGGCGTGGCGACCGCCCCTGGCGGGCTGTTCAGGGACCCAGAGACTGCTCATACGCACGGGAAACACTGCGACGCCGACATCTGCAAACAACGGTGCAACTCAAGCGTTTGTCAAAGAACCGACCGCGCTGAAGAACCGACCGCGCTGACACAAACTTTCCGGATGCGCCGAAATTGAGGGTGGAACTGTATGCCTGCGCCTGCCACTGTGGCCTTCGGTGGGGCTCCCTACGAGGCCACGAAACGAGTGAGGGGTGTGCCTTAACAAGGGTGGAACCGGATGCGGGCGCTGCCCCTGGAACCTCAGGTGGAGTCCCCAATGGGGCCAGGAAGCGTGTGAGGGGTGTGCCAACATGGAGGGTGGGACCGCAGGCGGGCGCTGCCACTCGGGCATTCGGTGGGGCTTCCTATGGGGCCACGAACCGTGTGATGCGTGTGCCGAAATGCTGGTGGAACTGCATGCGGGCGCTGCCACTGCGGCCTTCGGTGGAGCTCCCTATGGGGCAACGAAGCGTGTGAAGTGTGGGTGTGTGCCTGAATGGGTGGAACTGCATGTGGGTGCTGCCACTCGGGCCTTCAGTGGGGCCCCCTATGGGGCCACGAACAGTGTGAGGGGTGCACCGAAATGGGGGTGGAACAGCATTCGGGCGCTGCCACAGGGGGCGGGCCTTCGGTGGAGCTCCCTATGGGGCCACGAAAACTCTTACGGGTATGCCGACTTGAAGGCAGCGACACGGACGGGAGGCGGGAGGAGATGGGAGGAGGGAGGAGGAGGGGAAAGAGGAGGAGGAGGAGGAGGAGGAAGAGGAGCGGGAAGAGGCAAGCGTACAACAAGAGGAGCGGGAAGAAGAATTTCCAGGATTTCCGCCATCACGTAGTGATAAAAGGCTGAGCTCAGCACTTGGGAAACAGGTCGCGATCGATTCGATGCAAATACTCGCGCCTGGCCTTGGTGATTAAGTGGGGGCGACAAGGATTACCTAAGCCCCTGAGCTGGGCCTGACCGAAAAATCCGCACGACCCACAAAACCACAATCCAAGGTCTTTGTGATACCGAAGGGCGTGTGAGGGATGCGTCCAGCCACCTGCCAAGTGTAAACTCCGTCCTAGGGGGGCTCGGGATAACTTAGCATTCACAGGCAGGGGAGGGTTGCAAGCGCTTTTCAACCATTCGGACTCCTTATCTTTCGAACACGAACTGAAACAAACCGAGCACGCTCTGCCATTTTCGGTCAGGGCGTGGGCAGAGGCGAAACGAGCGAGGGCGAGAGGAGGAGGAGGCCGAGGAGCAGGGGGGCCAGGCGGGGCCAGGGGAACCCTTTCCTTGGCCTTGATGGCCTGGGAAGCCTGGATAGAATCTAACCCTACTCTAAGGAGACGCCTCCTGACTAACCTCGCCTTGCGTTCGACTTGGTGCACTCTAAATCTGTCGGCCTCAGGGACCCTGGCCATCGTAGCGGCCGATCCAGCAAGCACATCCACACAAGCGTTGCCGATGACAAGCCAACTGTCCCACCCACGCTGGAGGACCTCTCTGGCGGACAAGTGGGAAGGTGCCTGCACAACCACAATATCACTAGCACTCCTATTCTGGGCTGCGAGGGTGAGACCGATGCTGCGCCACAAATCTGCCTGAGGGCCCTCGGGACTGTCAATCGCAGATGCGTGCCACCCTCGAGCAACCTCGGCACAATCAGTGATGTACACTATGGGCCCCGTCGTGAAACGAATGGTCCATTCGAAAGCCTGAACCTCTCCCCTGGGGACCGTTTGGGCCGGCCCCACAAGAGGCCCTAACAAGTACGGACCGAGCTCACAAGGAACAAAGCTATTGAACGTGGCTACCGCACACCCTACTCTACGCAGCCTATTATCATGGGTATCTTTTCCCCCAGAGGCGCCCCCGAACATGTAAATCGGCAGGCCCCGAGCCCCTGGGCCGAGACACCCTGGACCGAGACGCCCCTCGGGAAGATTCCCTCCGAAAAAAAGCTTCCTCCTGAGCAGGGGCGGGAACGCGGGTCCACTCACTGGGAATCACCCCCCTCATCCAGAAGCACGGGCACGCTTCATGTTCCGCTTGAGCCTCCACGACCAGACAATCAGATTGAACATGTGCTGCTGACCCCTGGTTTTTTACTGCACAACCAATTGCGATGCAGAGGCGTGTCGACCGCCTCCTCGCACCGCTCGCACTGGTCGGAATTGCTGAGGTTGGCCGCACATTTACGCTCCTGGGTCCAGTAGCCGCCCGTGGCGATGGTCACCATCAGCTCCGACAACTGACGTCCCTTCTTGGCGTGGAGGAGCATCGCAATGTAAGCGCGATAACCCTGCCAATCAGCGCCCTGCTCCAGGCCGCCGCCACAAAACAAGCCAGCTGCCTCCTCCCAGAGTTGCATGTACAATGTGTCCTCGAACTCCTGCAAAAGTGGCCGAGCCTGGCCCAGGCCAACAAAAGCATCTGTGGAAAACTCCCAGGTATGCTCCATATTGCTCCCGTCACTCGGCACCTGCCACTCCGTAGCAGACTTCAAGTTCCATCCAGCTTGTAACAAATACAACACTGCTGAAGACATGGGCCCGCGAACGTGGCGACTCCGTTGCCCAGCAGGGACAAGGCGTAGTCTATCCACTGTACGTGACCACGCCAAACGAATAGACGGACGAAGTCGCGGCTCTCGCAGCCAACAATCCAACCACTGCGTGATGCACAACCTCGGCAGCACCACTCCTGGATCAGCTCCAGGCAGGCGTAGAGCTAACAACGAGGTCAAACAGCGCCCCCGCTTGTGTGACCCAGCTGCAGCATCTAGCCGTCGCCTGTGACTGAGCATCACCGACCCAAAGCAGCCCAAGACCTGGTGGCCGTATGGGGCCGAGGCCTGAGGGCCCGTCCTCTGGATCATGCTCGTGGTCGGCCACCGTCTCGCTGCTGCTGCAAAACGTCGGAGCCGTTGATGAGAGGCCCCCGACTTCTTCACGCGCTTGCGCGCGGTGTCCCTGCCGTGGCGACGCCCTCCAGCGAGATCGATCCCAAGGTAGGCTGCCTGCAGCACAGGGGTAACCTCGATGCCGTGACGCCGCAGCCGCCGCGCTACCTGCGCCGCGTCCTGGTGGATGGAGCACACCACCACGCTCTTAGCCGCGATGCCCAGCTTGAGCCTCCGAAATTCCTTCACCGTGGTAGCGACCGCCTTCACCAGAGTACCTCGAACATGTTCACGACTGCCCGACGCGCGCTCCAGCAAGTCGTCGATCCAAATCCTCTGGGACATCGACGGGTGAGCGATCGCCAACTTCTCGCATACCACTGCTGTGATACATTTCGCAAACCGAGTGCCACTGCGCGGTCCTTGAATGACCGACTTCGTGGCCTGAAATGGTAGCGAGTACGAGTCCAACTGTGACAATAGGCGAGGTGCCATGAACAACTGCACCTCCAAAAACAGCACGACTGGGGGATGCCCTTTTCTGATCGCGCACTCCGCAAGAATGGGCCATGCAGTGCCGTCGTAGAAGGCCTCCACGTCCAGCAGGGCTTGCCCATGGGGCAGGTGAAGGGAGGTCTGCACCTCGTCCTCCAGCGCCCGCACGAACGCCTCCCTCAAGGCACTGTTCCCAGCGAGGGCAGCGTCCCAATAATCATCTTGCTGGTCGGCCCAGCCTCGCACAAGCGGCTCCCGTGCGAGCGACCATACTCTGCGCAGCATGCCGAGCAGCCCGATACACCGATCTCCGCCCGACTTCTTGCCGAGCAGGCGTCCCAGCACGCACAGCACCTGCCACGGCCAACTAAGGCCCTGCTCGATCATCGTGAACAGCTCCACAAGGTCGCCTATGGCCTGATCGGGCAGACGGCTGAAGTCCAAGGGCGACAGCCTGTCCACCCCTTGCCCCGCGCGGGGCTTCATCTTAGCCAGGGCTCCCCTGACCTCTTCTATGGAGAGGGGTACCAGCTGCTCTACTTCAGCGTGTTCACGAATTAAGCCACACGCCCGCATTATGTCGTCGTGATCTGACACTTTGGAGGTCCACAACTGATGCCACCGAGAGATTTTGCCGTCTACTATCTCCAGCGGGTGCACCAGCTTCTTATCCCCGATGTGATACTCGTCCAACTCTGGAGCCAGATCTTTGATCGACTTGTGTACAGCACCTAAGCTGTCCACCGAGCCGATCCAACTCTGGAAGTCGCGAAGTGACGCCGAGGCTGCACGGTTCTGCGCCCTCCTCGCCGATTTGAAAGCCACCTCTTCCAGCCGAACTAGCTCGTCCAGGGTCTGAACCTGCAAACTCCGAAGCGCTCCAAGAAATTGGGACCAGCTAAGCCCGAGCGTGCCTGCGAAACAAGCTCCTGCTCCGTCCAGTGGCTGATCCGCTAAACCCAAAGCTGCTTGTGAAAGATGACCCATTTGCAAGTTGCCATTGTTACGCCGCCGATGTCGGCAAGCCTGCTTGAGAATCGTATGCCCTCTGCTCCACCAGGCTGCCACTCCATCGCGTAGAGGTTGAGACCTGACGCGCTCGGGCTCCCTGACTGGGCCAGCGACCAGCTGGGCGCCGTTGGCCCTCGACTGCATTGGTGCCGTCCCTCCGTGATGGGTCGCGATCGCGCCCTCGACCGTGGACACCCATCTGGCGAAACAGCTGCTGATGGGCAGGATGTGGCGCTGCCCAGCCGAGAAAGCGAGGGAACGTCTGATGGGGTTCCAGACGTCCTCAAGGGAGTGTGAAAGCCAAGGGGCTTGAGCCGCAACGGTTGCCCAGGTGGAAGAGGGGATGGCGAAAGAGGGAAGGGCGGGCGCAGCAGCATCGGCAGACGAGGGCGGATCAAGCTGATCGCCAGCCGCGCTGACGCCCGAGCCCCCAGGACGCTCGACAGTGGGGACCGCAGAAACACCCCTCGGAACTTCGCCAATTAAGGAAGAACTGTCTTGCTGCTCGAACTCACCTGATTCAACGGACGCTCCTAGAACACCTGCACCCTGGTTGCAAGCTGGCTGGAAGCACGATT